GAACTGAACTTGGGTCCTCTGGAAGAATAGTAAGTGCTATTAACCACTGAGCCATCTCCCTGGCTTCCTGTAACTCCTCTTTTTAAAAACATTTTTGAATACCTATTTTATCCCCAAATCCATGATAAGCATTTTATTTACTTATTCCATTTGTTTGCTTGCCTAGATCTTGTGTATCCCAGGCTGACTTAAAACTCATTATATAGCAAAAGACCTGACCCTCCTGCCTCCAACTCCCCAGTCCTAGACTCACAGGCAGATGCTACCCCACCCAATTTTTCAGTGCTAGGAATCAAACCCAGGGCTTTGTGCATGCTAGGCAAGCATCTTGCTGAGCCACACCCCCAGCCCTGTAACCCCTTTTGAAGAGTGAGATGTCGTAGGAGAATTTACTTCTTGTCTTTCCCCCACTTCCCTGAAGAGCCTTGGTCCTTCAGAAGTAGAATGTTGTAGGGTGGAATCAAGAGCTGAGTTTTCATTTTATTTCCTGCTCTCATATGAAGCCTCCACGTAAGCCCAAGCTCTTTTAAGAGAGTTTAAAATAGGTGGTCTCCAAAGCATGTCCCCTGTAACACGTAACTCTAGGACTCCCTACAGACCAAGACAACCTAGAAAGAGTAAAACTCCACTTAAAAGAGAACCAGAAAACAGAGAGGGGGAGGGGGCAGGGAGAGAAAGAGCGAGAAAGGCAACATTAAGACATAGAGACAGCCTTGTGGTTGAGTGTAGACTCCCGTCTGAATCCCATTTCCGCAACCTGCTGAAGCTTGCAACCTCAGGCTAGTTACTTAACTTTGCTAGAACTATACTTCCTCTTCTGTAAAATGTGACGAGATTACCTCCTCTCTGATCTGATGAGAAGATTAAGTGAGATAATATAGTCTTAAACCTAGAAGCTAATAGGGTTTTATGGACATCATTCCTCCCGCCTAATTGTCATGTAATTAAAAAGCAGATTAAAACTAAGTAAAGCATGAATGGAGACTGTAAAGCTCACTTGTCTCTTCATGTTTTATTCCTCTGACAGGCTTCATATCACCTGAAGAGAAACACACCCTCTGTTGAGGTCCACAAGCAAACAGTTAATTCCAGGACCCCTATGCCCTCACGAATAACAAACTCCGTAAGTGCTCATATCCCTGATAGAACATAACTTTGCACTCACATAACCTGTGTATAGCCCGCATATGCCTTGAATCATTTCTTATAACGCCCAGTGCAGTGTAAATGCTCTGTGAAAAGCCACTATACCGTATTGTTTACAGAGTGATGACAAGGAGAAAAGTCTGCACTTGTCCAATACAGACACTTCTCCTTCCCCCAGTCCCCGAGTGTTCCTGCCTACAGTTGGCTGAATCTAGGAATACAGAATCCGGGGACTCAGAGAGCCAAATTTACCCCCAGAAAAACTTAGAGTTGTGCTTCTCTCTGCATTCAAAGGATTTCTTTCACATCCAGGTATCATGCGCTAATTTTAAAGTGGATTCTAAAGGTGTTTGCATATGTTTCCCATCTTCATGGTACATTGGCAAGATCATGCCTGAGGTCACAGCCATACTCGACTGCCAATCATTACTCAATCATATCAAAGCCTTCCTTCCATTTCCAGGGTACCACAGAATGAAAGGAGATTTCGCTAGCAGAGAGAAAGGAGAAAATCTTCCTGATCTTTGGGGTTTGTTTGTTTGTTTGTTTGTTTGTTTTGTGTTGGAGAGTGTGTTGTGTGAGCACATGTATGTACACTTTATGTGCATGTGAGTACTGAGGCCGGGGGTTGATACCAGAAATCTTCCTCAGTCCCTCTTTCATCTTATTGTTTCAGACCCACAGCTTGCAGGTATGGTTAGTCGAGCTAGCCCAATTGCTCCAGATTCCCTCGCTCTACTTTCTGAGGCTCAAGTTACAAACAGGCTGCCACGGCCACCCAGCATTTCCATAGGTTGTGGGTATCTGAACTCTGGTCCTCTTGCTCTTCCAGCAATCGCTTTTAACTTTGAAGCCATCCCCCCGCCCCAGACCATCTTTTATTTTTATAAAATCCTAGAATCACTAACGACAATGCATTTCAGCCCTGTCACTTGACAGCAATAGTGATAAAACATTCTAGGGTTCCAACTGCAAACGAGATCTGACCTGGCATCAGAATCCTGAGTCTCAAGTACAGGCTATGTCTGTGTCTCAGTTTCTATGACCTTCACTTTCCTCCTTCCAAGGTCGTTGGCCACATAAGGAGACAGAAAGGGCCACTGTATATGTGCAGTTGGAGGCTGGCATGCGTGTGAGCACTTTGTGAACCATAAGGCAGTTGTCACAAGAAAAGCATCACCAAGGTCCTTTGGGTCCTTAGGATAAGTGTGATGGGACATGGCTGTGCCTATAAACCCAGCACTCAGGACGCTGAGGAAGGATAAGCAAAAGTTTGAGAATGAACTCGAACTCGGATGCATAGTGAGACCCTGTCAAGAACAAAAGACGGGACGGGGGGGAGGGGGGAATAGATGGAGGGATGAAAGGAAGGAGAAAGAGACAGACAGATCCCTCAGAGTCATAGCATCTGGACTTACAAAGCATATTCGCCTACTGACACGCGTCACTTCACCTTGCATGCTTAATTTTGTAGCTCCTGAGGGGAAAATGTCAATGTACAGCAAAGCCTATGGTACAGAATGAGTGCACAATATTTTCCCTGGATTATTTAGAGAGCTCTGAGGCAAATACATGAGGCCTGGTAAAGCCCTCCCCAACACATTTCTCTCCCCCCCCCCTTCCCTAGAAGAGTTGATTTAGACACACTCGGTGTGCTCTCACAGGAGGTAAGCTCCCCACCAAAGGCGCTCTCACTCTCTGAGCTTCCTGCCCTGTCGATTCCCTTCAGACCTCTTTCCAAGAAGATCACGTGGAAGAGGAGGATTGAGAGAGACACTGACCCAAATTGGCTGTTTCTCAACCCGGCTCTCATCTGGTGAGTCCTCCACAGCCCAGGAATGGAAATGGAGCCGGGCTGGGTGTTGCTTCAGATGGTAGAAGCAAGGGTGCTTTCCTGGATTGCCAAAGGGGCAGGCAGGCGCTCTGCCTTGCTCTCAGAAACCAAACCGCTGCAGCGCCTCAGGAGTGGCCTTCACTCGAAAGTGTCTTCCCTGTTGAAGTCTTCTGAGCCCTGTTTTCGTAAGAAGTCTGTTTTCCTCTGTGAACTAAGGCATCGCGGTGATGACTATGGACTCCTCGAGTGACTGGAGCCATCATTAGTGTCGTTATTTGTGTTTGGTTGCATCTCCATAGCAGCCCACATTCCCGGTGCACCTTGCAATTGTTTCTTAGTGATTGTCCTCACAAGATTCCGGCGGGCCGAAGATGACAAGGTTAACGTTTTCTGTGTTGCCCGAGGGGAACTCAGGTAGGCAGAGATGTTAGCTGGCTGACATGGCTGCTCATATAAGGTCTCTTTCGAGACACCCACACTTCGGCTCCAGTCTGCTTGGATGCTTATTCTGCCTTCATTTATGATAGCACTCATCTTTGACTCCTGTTTATAAATACAACAAGAAGGGACAGGCTGGGCAACAGAATTGGAACTGGAGAGTCTCCATATGTAATAGAATCAATGAACGTTTGAACAGCTCCATTATTTATGGTTAAACAGGACCAGAGGGAATACTTCATACAAATCACACAAGCTACTTCACTCCTCATCCCATGCCTCTTTTATTCCCATGTTTCAGTGGCTTGCTTTTCTCTCTTTGCCATTTTTTTCTTTCCTTGTCTACCACCCACTTCCTTTATTTAAAATTTAAGTGGCTTCACTGACAACTAGGAAAGCTGAGACACTGATCTACTGAGAGTCTGGTGCTCTACCATCTGAACTGGACTGGCCTCTGGGGACTGAAAATGTCTTTGCTAAAAGTGCCCAGGCATTGCTGATTCCATGTCATATGTAAGAATCCATACCTGCCTTTCCCACAGCCTCCACTCCTGAGCTGAGCCACTGTCCCAGCGGGGGCTTTGTCCCTGCCTGCATAAGTGGGGAGCTGTCTTCGCCCACCTCTGTCCTGTCTTTAGGTAGTGGGACAGGGTCACTTTTCCTAACATGGCTGAGCCTGGGAGTTCTCTCCTGAAGCTGCCATCTCTGTAGGAAATGTGTTGGCATTATTCAAAGGAGTAAGAGGACCTGGGTCTTTATGGTCAATGTCACTTTTGTTATCTCTGCCTCCTCTAACCAGAAGGCTGTCATTCCATACTCAGACCCTGACTTCTCAAGCAAACCTTCCTCTTCAGCGGGGAGAGGGAAACCTCATTTTCCCTCAAATGCTATACCTTAGCTGCCAATTATCCTGCCCATCCACATTCAGTCCTGGGGCACAATAAACAATCCAGGTCAAGCACAAAGTGTACCCCTGAAACTCCCATCCTACTCCGTCTAGCCCTCTGATTTGAGGATTTCTGCCTTCTTCTTCCACCCGAAACTTTTAGAATCCTGGTGAGCTTCCTGCTGCTCTTCCCTTTTTGTAAGACATGTTTATAATCATCTGGAACAAGCAATAAACAGATGAATCAAGTCCACAGCCTGTGGAATCTTTGCAAAGAACATTATTACCGAGTATATAATCAGCCTTTTGGCCAGTATCAAGCAGAAACGAACATAGAGAGATACAGAGCAGAATTGTCTCATGCAAATTCCCAGTGACACACTCATGGCCACACCTACTTGAGATGATTATAAAAGACAGAGAAGCCTGACTCAGGCCTAAGTCTCCAGGGCAGAGAGGGAGTCACCTCATTGGCGCTTGAGTCGACAAAGGTATTGTCCTTATGGCGTCTGAGACTATGAAAATTGTCTTCTGTTTGCTCCTTGACTGTTTTCTCTCGAGGCACTTTCTGTGAGGCTGTGGTCTGTTCCTTTTTCTTTTGTTGTTCCTGATTTGGTGTGTGAGCTGGAATCACAGATTTCAGAGAAGAATTCTCTTTCTAGTGATAAGGAACTGAAGGGCAGCTGAACAGGATTCCTGTGAGGGAATCCGTCAGGGCAGCCGAATCTCTTCCCGGAGATGGGAACTCCCTGCTGACAAAAAGAAGAAAGATCTGCAGGTCCCCATGCTGTGTCTCCCTTGCCTCTGTATAAGGCAGATACCTCACTCAGATGGCTTTCATTATTTTCCTTATCCTAGCCACCTTTTACTGAACGCCTACTGTGTGTGATGGCATGGGCTGGACACAGAGAATACTGAGATAGGGAAAAGATTCTCAAACAAATGTACAAGCTAGTAGAGGAGAGCAAAGCACACACAAATAATGCAAGGGGGTATGAAGACGAGCAGAGGAAATGCCGGGCGTGTGATAAGTCAGTCACTCGTTGTAGTTTCTCAAGAAGAGTAAAGCGGGGTCACTGTCCTTGCAAGCATGGGGTTCAGAGGTGGAGAGCTGACGGCCACTGTGTTCTCTTGCAGAAGTCACGATGGCCAAAGTTCCTGATTTGTTTGAAGACTTGAAGAATTGCTATAGGTAAGAAACACATTCTACTTTCTGTGATTCACTAAATCTAACTAGGAGTTAAGTGATCGGCCAGTGGCTGTGTTGTCAGAGGCTCTGGAGATGTACACTGACCCTGAAGTCCAGGCAAGACCGGAGAAGACCCTGAAAGACAAAGCCTCCAACATGCTAAAATGGTATTTCATTGAGAGAAATGGAAATTATAGAAAACTATTTTTGAGGAATACAGACTCCTCTGTAACTTTATATCAACATCAGCTTAGGCACTCTGGGGAGTTTGTGTGCTGAGCTCCAGCAGCAGTTTTTAATGAACTGTTCGAGAGAGAATTCATTCTCGGGGGGACCCTGATCCCTGTCAAGCAGAGAAAACAGCTCTTGGGCACATGAACTCACAACCACAGTTAAACTTCACCCTGATAAACGAGCAGAGTTGAAATTCTAGAACATTCTTAACTAACACTATGTTCTTGTTGTTTACAACTAACATTAATGCTAATCAAGCTACAAAATACTTCTTGGCTACCGTTGTAATGTGAAATCTGTTTTAGCGAGTACGTGAAAACAGTGTATGACACGTGTGTCTGTGGAACTTCAGAAGTTCTCTTTTCATTCAAGGAGCTTCAGCCTTTCCTGAACTCTAATTAAGGCTCTTTGATTTATTAGTCATGCCTAGTTTTTACAGATAAAGCACAAAGCTGTTCTAATAATTACTAATTCCAAATTAGTGACAAACTAATTACTATGTGTGTAGACATGAATATATAGAAGTCTTTAACTTTTCAAAGAGTAGTGTCTGTGTGTGTGTGTGTGTGTGTGTGTGTGTGTGTGTGTGTGTGCATGTGTCTGTGTGTGTGTATGTTCATGTGCCCAAGTTACTGTAGAGCTGACTCTCCTCCTGACTGGGATCAAGTTCTCCTAAGAATGGAGTAACTCTTGAACAGCCACTAAAACCCATTGCTGTGTTGGAGCATTCAGACTCAAAAGTGCCTGGGTCTAAATCAGTATTCAGGAATGTTGTATTACCAAAGCTAATGTGGTTATTAAAATATGATGCCTAAACCACAGTAAAATGATGAACTAAAATACAGTCTCATTATATGTTTTTGACAGTGAAAATGAAGAATACAGTTCCGCCATTGACCATCTCTCTCTGAATCAGGTAAGCACATGATTATCATTCTTATAGATCTGGATTTTCTTTTTCTTTCTTTCTTTCTTTTTTTTTTTACACATTAGTTCATCTGCCAGAAAAGCACAATGAGGGTTGAGTATTATACACTTTTGTTTCACTCTCACTACAGGTCTAAAGTACATTTATTTATTGTTAGTGAGACCACTGGCCTCTCTCTACTAGTAATTAACTGCTGTTCTTCACGCTCATTGGCTCCTCCATTCAGAGAAGAACTACCTGAAGCCCCTAAGCACTTCTGGGCTCCTTCACAATGTTAATTTTGTCATCCTTAGCCAGTTGCTTCAATCCACCTCACCTGGAGTCTTATCTCCTAATATGCAATGTGGACATCATTCTCTGACATTAACACCAGAGGCCAGAGATAGCCTGATAGCCCACAAAGCTGAGGTAGAGGAAGCCAGCTAAGAGAAAGAGAAAATGTTACACTCACTCACCAAGTTATTTTGTGTATCTGTGATACCGGTTTTAAAAACTGCTTCCAGAAGAACAGCCATACCAAAGACATCCATGGGGGCTCAAGCCCCCAGGGAGATCACCTCCTGCAGATGTTCAAGTCTCTTATATTGAGTGACCTTCTATTTGTATAAAATATGCATGCATTCGCAAATGACTTTAATTCATATCTGGGTGACTTAACCATACCTGCCACAATGCAAATGCTATGGGAATAATTGTTATACTTATGAGTCAGTGATTACATTATTTAGGAAGCAATGACAAAAAGATTCACATGTTCAGTACAGATGTCATTTCTTTTTAGAAAATATTTTGAATCTTAAAGTTGGTTGAATTTGAGCAGGCAATACAGACAGCCCAAAGTATTTTCTAAAATATTATGAGTACTCTCAAGTAGATGTCAGATCTCTTGATGGAAGGATCTCACCAGCATCACGTGTTAACCTATTTCACTAAAATGTTTTATTTTTGAGCCTAAAGATGGGTGGAAAGACCTTCCCCCAGAATCATGTGGTTTCAGGGAAAGCCAAGAAAGGAAAAAAAGAAGGAATGGAGCGGGAGGGAAGGAAGGACCGTGAAGGGCAAGAGGCGAGGGAGGGATGAAGCATAGGTTGGTTCCCTACAGCCAGAATGGAGGTCACTCTCGCTAAGTCTGTAGGATACAGACCCTATAAAGAGTGCCATCCCAAGGTCAGAGGTAAGCTCTCAGGTGCCACTTCCCTTCCTCACAGAAGTCCTTCTACGATGCAAGCTACGTCTCGCTTCAGGAGAATTGCACAGACAAGTTTGTGTCTCTGAGAGGCTCCGAAACCTCAAAGATGTCCACCTTTGAGCAGAGTCTGATGGTGGCGGCAGTAACATCAAACCAGGGGAAGATCCTGAAGAAGAGACGGCTGGCCTTCGATCAGGCCTTTGCTGAAGAGGACCTGGAGGCCATGACCCATAATTTAGAAGGTAAGGGATAAAACACAACAAAATCCAATTTTCCAGTTTTAAGCAAAGAAAATAAAACCTGGAACCAAACAAGAAAGCAACCAGACATTAGCTCAGTAACTATAACAAAGAAAAATTAAATGCCGCTCTTCTCCAGAGGGGAGAGATCAATGGTAGCCTGAGTCCAGAACACTTACTCAAGGGCTCCTTTCTTGGCTATATTGTGAAGGTCACATAAAGGTCTTTGGTTGGAGAGAAAGCAGTCATCGTCCATTAGCTCATGACCTCTAGTGGGTGCCACCTCCTTAGTCATGTTCCTCAATCTCTCTGGGCTTCAGTTCCCCATACTGTGAATAGAGATGACCAAGACTTACAGCTCACAGGGTTCCTGTAAAGATTAAATAAGCCAATACCTCTAAAACATTTAGACTAGAAGAATGCCTACTGTGAGGTCACCACCCAAGAAACGTCAGCCATTGGTGTTGCTCCCAGTGCCCTTGGAAATGCCACAACACTATTAAGTTATTGATGGCTGCACTTTCTGGAGGCTCCAAAACAGCATTCCCCTCTCCTTCACATATGAGGAAATGAGGCTCAGTCTCTACGTGGGAAACCCTCACAGCCAATTCAGTCCAGTCTGACTATGAGAACCCTGGGTTTTCTTTCATGTCTTTGCTATACATTCCTCCACAGGAAACATAAACCAAGTACTCATTTTAGTATAAAACCTAGGCAACAGTACCTCTCCACCTAGAAAAATTTTAAAATAAAACAAAGTATAATAAAGAACTTTAGCACTCACTCATTTTTGTCCCTCAGATTTTAACTCTACCAACACCACGGAATGTTTCCTTAAAGTCTTTTGCACATACAGATGCATACAGATGCATACAGATGCATACAGATGCATACAGATGCACACAAGAGCAAACATGTCCAACATCATCATTGGTATACTACACACCATCTCACATCCAGCTTTTTCTCATTTAATATATTACAGACATTTTACAGGCAAATTTTTCAACACTGAAGTGACAGTGAACATCTATGTCAATATCTGTCACCATTCATTCCTTAGAATGGCATCCTAGAAGTGAAGTTAGTCAGAACCTGGAGATTCGTGAAATTACTCATACATACACTCTCCAAAAAGACAGTAGGTCTGAACCTTCAGTACATATATATGTAACATATGTATTATTTATAGATAATGGGGACATATCATTGTGGTATACAATTTTAACACATTTCCTTTCATCTTAGCATACATTCATCTGAAAAATATCGATTAGAAATACTGGTAGTCTTCCTTGTCACTTAGAAACCTGCTAACGGGGCCAGGCATGGTGCCTAACACCTTTAATCCCAGTAGGAGGCAGAGGCAGAAGTATCTCTGTGAGTTCAAGACTATTCTTGTATATAGAGTGAATTTCAAGCCAACCAGAGTTCCATAATAAGAAAAAAGAAAAGAAAGGAACTAACAAAAAATTTAAAAGTTTCTCAAGAACTCTTGTAAAAAGTAAAATAAAATTATTGCTTGATGAATTGGTTTACCAAAAAAAAGAAGAAAGGAAGGAAGGAAGGAAGGAAGGAAGGAAGGAAGGAAGGAAGGAAGGAAGGAAGGAAGAAAGGAAGGAAGAAAGAAAGAAAAGGAAAGAAAAGAAGGAAAGAAAGAAAGGCAGGAAGAAAGACAGAAAGAGAGAGAGAAAGAAAGAAAGAGAACCATAATAATAATTAAAAAAAAAAACCTAGCTGGAATCAAGCCTTCTGCTGATTGATTTCAACTCTGGCTGTTCCACCAGGATCAGCTACCCCTACAGTCCCTCTCAGAACTACATCTGATGCTTGTATTAGCATGTATATGTCATCTATATTTTTAAAGAGGCAATAACCTGACCTTGTGATAATGACTCTAGAGACCATCCAATCAGATTCAGCACCTCACATCTTCCAGAGTAATGTGAAATACAGATTGCTAAGGCTTGTCAAGCATGAGTTTGTCATGAATGATCCTCTCAATCAAAACATCTACCTGGATGCGGACAATGTACATCTCAAGGCTGCTTCGTTAACTGACCTGCAACATGAAGGTACATGGGCACCTTGGCACTCTCCCCTCCTTGGGTTTCTTTGCTTCTTTCAAACTTTCTGCTTTCAAAGCACAAACTTACCTACATCCCTGGCTTTGTACACTTCTTCTAGAATAGAATGAAGCACCCCACCCCCACCAAGAATCCCTGAAAAGGACAGAATGTCACCCAAATCTTTGAGTTCCACAAGAGAGCAGTTTCCTACCTGAGCTCACTACATGGGACAGAGAGCTTTCTGATGTACCATCTCTTTGGTGCTTGTAGACATTCTCAACAAGACCTCCCCATTCTAATTTTAAAGAAGAGAAAACCGAGCATCACAAATGTTAATGACTTACCCAGAAGTTAACAAGGCGCAGTCAGTCACTATCTGTTAGAAAGCTGATGATCAAACTTACAACTCACTTTCAGCTAGGAAGAGCTTGCTAAAGTGACGGGAAAGCCAAACAGCCCCTAACTGCAATGGGATCTGAAGGACAAAATTCAGTGTCCAAAAGTCTTGTTACACAGATCCAGCTTCCATAATGAACCTGTTTTAGATGCGGAATGCATCATCAATATGCAAAATTCTTTTTTAAAGAGCCACAGCAGCAACTTTATAGTAAGTAGGCAGGGTTCTTTCTGATTAGAGACAATGTGCACACCACTTACCATGCTTTCTATTCTATGACATTTGCAAATTGTTGTGTATCCTATTTCCTACTTAAACCATACACTTTTCCCCACGTATTAACTTAGTCTATGAATTTTCTACACACACACACACACACACACACACACACACACACACTTGCTTTTTGGTGTAAGAGATCAAACCCAAGCCAAATACACAGTAAGCAAGTGGTCTTTCACTGACCACAACTCCTGCCCCTGTGGTTCCTCTTGTTTACATTTCTAGTGG